GGGGAAAGGGGAAAGGGGAAAGAGGGATTTTCCACACAAAGCCATTTTTCCAGATGTGCTGTGGCCAGTGAGTCACTGTTTGGAGTTTGAACCTTCTTGGGATGATGAGAGAGAGGAGCAGGGAAAGGGGTGAAGTCTCAGTGCAAAGTCACTGCCACAGAAGGGGAGGAGCACAGAACGACTGCCAGGACCATGGAACGACTGCAAGGATCAAGGAATGACTGCCAGGACCATGGAAGGACCGTGAAGACCATGGAACAGCTGTGAGGAACAGGGAACAACTGCCATGCCCACGGCAGGACACACGGGAGCCCTCGGGACACACCCCAGAGCTCGCTCCAAACCCACCACCAGCAGGGGAATCTCTACTGCATCCCTAGAATTCCTACAAAGTTCTGCAAAACTACCTCTGAGCATCAAAATTACAGGATAAAAGATTTTTTTTTTTCATAGTTTACATCTTGTCCAAGGAATCTGAGGGAATCAAAAATAGAAGGGGAAGGATCTGCCCTCTAGAAAAGCCCCGATGCCAGGGAGGGAAGAACATCCCTCCCTCCCCATCAGCATCAGATACAAAAATACACTTTACACAGGGGAATGTCCCACTGTCCCACTGCTGCTGGGAGGGGGGACAGCCCCCGGAAACACAGGGAATTCCTGTACAAATCCAAGCAGGAGGTCACCACAAAGCCCTTCCAGGGATGAGGTAAGTGAGGTTTGGATGAGAAAAGCCAACGTGGAGGAGCCAAATTGTTTCATTTTCTGTACATCTGTAACAAAGTTCAGCCACAAATGTGGGTGGAAAAGCGGGTCTGCCGGGAATTCCCACCAGCAGCAACCACGGAGGGAAACCGGGATCAGAAACCTCCTTCTCACCCCAGAGCCAGAGTCGATCCAACCCATCTTCCAAAGGATCTTAAACTTTCACTGAACTGAACACTAGAGATGGTCCAACCCCGAGGTCCCCATTTGTGCCACCTGCCACACGTCACTAATTAACTGACACCTGGAATTATTAATTAATGCTGCAGAATTCCAGGGCCGGAACGCGCCGCTCCCCCAGCCACGGGGGTTTGGGGGTTGGGGTTTGGATCTTGCCCTGCAGAGGCGAAACCACGACTTCAAACTTCTCCCCGAGCTGCCCTCAGATTTCCCAGGAATGGCACAGTGTGCTCAGAGAGCCGACTCCGGAGCCTGGGATCCGGCACCGCCTCTGGAGCCGGGAACACCCCCCTGGGAAAGGGGAGCTCGTGGTCAGCAGCTCCTCTGAGGTGGGATGAGCTACACCTGGGGCTGGGATGGGCTTCAGTTCGGGCTGTTTTCAAGTTTGGGAGGATCCTGAGCTTGGGAAGGTCTCGAATTTGGGATGGTCTCAAGTCTGGGATGGTCCTGAGTTTGGGTTATTCCGGAGTTTGGGTTGTTCTAAGGTTTAGGATGATCTCAAGTTTGGGATGTTCTCGGGTCTGGGATGTTCTCAAGTTTGGGACATTTTCAAGTTTGGGATGGTCTTGAGTGTGGGAGGTTGCTGGATTTGGGTATTTCTCAGGTTTGTTTTTTTCTTGAGTTTGGGATGGTTTTGAGTTTGGGTTATTCCCGTGTTTGGGATGGTCTCGAGTTTGGGATGGTCTCAAGTTCGGGATGTTCTCGAGTTTGGGACCCTTTTTTTGCTCAAAACCTGTTTCTTGCTTGGATGGAGAACCTCCCCTGTTGGTACCTTCTGTCCACAACCCCAAACCTGCCGAGACAACACTTACTAACACAGAGCACTAACAAATCCCCGGCACAAAGTCCCTCCCAGCCCATG